TCCAGTATTGATCTGAAATTCCTCTGAAGAAAACTTTCAGTGAGAGGAGATTAGCTGCGGGAGATACTAAAGCACAGAGTGAAGAGCACAGAGTCCGGACGGCTGCAGTCAGGTTCTGGCTGCGGAAACTCCGGTGCAGCGGTACTATTACTCCCTGCCCCAGCTCACACGTCGGTAAAACGAGAAGAGTCACACTCACCCCGGGGGTTGTCCTGACAATCACATGGAACGCATCGAGAGTAGATCCTGGCACAGAATAAGGACCATATGAGCATTAGTGCCTGCAATTTTAAGCTGTAATGATTAAAATGATTCGATCCTGTCCTATGAAAACACAGATAAACCAATATCCGAGAAGAGAAAAGCCCCAATATAGGCAGGATGAAACAGATCAAAATAAATTCAGGAATTTAGTAGGCTAATAAGCAGCATTTCTAATCAATGGGGAAAGATGAGAGTCACTCAGCACACGGTGCTGGAACAAGTGAGCAGCCATCTGGAGAAAATAATATTATCTCATAATTCGCACCAAAATAACTTCCACAGAGATCAATCAAAGAGTTAAATGAGGGGGAAAATAACCCCATACTCGAGGAAAGCATGTGAGACCATCTTATGTCAATGCAGTGGAGATGCCCTCCCTAAGTATGATGTAAAACCTAAAAGCCATGAAGAAAAATATTGACAAACTCAACATATACAAATTGCTCTTCATTCTGCAGAGGAAAAGTCACAACAGTTTTCTCTAGAGTGAGGCTGAGGGTTGGAGAGGAAGAGCTGTGACAGTCACTGAGGGAACAGAAGATGGTATTTCAGGATTCCACCCAGATGAGATGCCAGAGCTCTGTAAAAGCATCACTGCGCATGATCATGTCTCCCCCGTGCAGGTGTAGAAACTTCTAGAACATGTTGGTTAGAAGTTATGTTCCCCTGCTGGCATCAGAGACGAAAAGTAACAGGGCTTACCTAAGACAGAGTTCCTTGTTTCCCCTCATAGAAAAGGATGAGGAGGCAGATGGCAGAGGCTGCTGTCCTCGGGCACTCAGGCTTCTAGCTTCCTGCTCACTGTCCTAGCTACTGGCTTCTGTACTGAAGGTTGCCTCATGATCCAAGATGGCCAAGTCCAGCCATCATTTCTGAATCCAGGCAGGAAACAGGAGGAAGGAAGAAAGGACAAAAAGACCATCCTGCAGCTGTTTGTCCTTTAGTCAGTCTTCCTGAAAATCGTACCCACAACTTCCCCTTGAATCGTATTGGCGAGGATATAGTCATTTTCCCCAAATCTATCAGTGGAGCACACTGCCACCCCAAATAAAACCAAGGTTCTGTAACTGAGTACAAAGAAATAAATGGAAATTGGGTAAGCAAAGAGCGTCCGCTGTCATAGGCCTCATCCAGAATTAGAGATGTGTCAGCTAAGTGTGGCCTAAGGACAGGGGAACAGGAGGGGTCAAGGAGCTCGTGAGAGGGGGAATGCAGAGGAGAGGATCAGCAGGGAGCTTGGACAGCCTGAAAGAAAGTGGATTATTAAGGGACAAGAGTTCATGGGGTCAAAGCGCAGGCATAGCAAGCAGGATGATAATAGGAGAAAGCTGGAAAGAAAGTTGTAGCATAGAAATGATGCTGGCATTTAATATATCAGAGTTCTCAGTCCAAGAGATTAAAAAAAAAAAAAAAAGTCCAGGGTATGGCAGAAGGGAGGGTCCTGGAGTTTGGGGGACGTAGGAGTCCCGTGTGTCCAGAGGGTTGTCTCCGTGGATGGTGGGACCTTCCAGGATGGTGTTGGGTGGTGGAGGGCATGTCTGTGATGCAGGCGCCAATCCTTGGGAAATGCCGCAAAAAGACTCGGGGGGATGAGAAGGGAAGAGGGGGGTGGGGAGACTGGCGGGTTTCAGTGGCGGAGGGTGGAGAGGAATGGGCTGCAGCTCAGACCCAGGTCCCAGCCATGAGGCTCACAAGGCAGGAGAGAAAAAACCACCACTCAGGAAAGCACAAAAAGCCAGTGTTTCAGGATAGGAGGAAGCAGTGGGTCTGAGACAAGGTGGAAGGAAGGGATGGGTGGGCAGGGCCTTGGCAGTAGAAGGAGCAAGGTTGAGGGATGCTTGGGGAATTCAAGCAAGGGGTAAGGAAACAAACAGAAAAATTGAGGTTGAGAGAGAAAGACGATGCAGGCAAGAGCTGCTCTCCTGATTTGGTGTTGACAACCACAGGACAGGGTTGGGCAGCCTCAGGATGCCAGCAGGTGTCACTCTGAGTCCCAGGTGGGTCCAACAGAGCAGCTCCACTGCCCTGGTCTCTCTGGAGTTTGGTCTCAGAGCACACAGAGCAGGAAGGCAGGGAGGAGAGGCGCTCTATATGGATGGCACCCTAACATGCCGCTGTTCCCCTACAGGTCTGAAGACTAACGCCAGAGCGGTACCCAAGTGAGTGCTTGTCCCTCTTGGGAAATAGGGAAGTTCCTTATGGGAAGGGCACAGGGCCTCTGTCACTTGCTATCCTGGTCCTTTCCCAGGGAGTGTCTCTTTTCTCAGAGCCACTTCCCTCCTCAGCTCTTAACCTCGCCTCCCTCCCTCCCTCTGGAGCCCTCTTCCTCTTTACCTTCCCACCTCCCGGTCCCTCCAGCCCCTCTTCTGGACTTCTGTCCTTCTCTCCAGCCCCTTCCCTCCCCTCTCTCCCCTCTGGCCTGGGCACCCACCGGAAGACCTGAGGTGGGTAGAGCTGGTGTTCATTCTCTAGCTTGTACCAACAACCACAAGGCAAGACAAGACTTCACCCTTCCCAAGGCTCTTCCAACAAAGCCGCTTCTCCATCCGCCTTCAATAGGCCTGTGGGACCTCTACTGGCGACACAGCAAACTGCCTCTCGGATAATCCAGGATGCCTCCTGAGAGCCTCAAAACAGAGCTCACCTCAGAGTGTCAGGCCTTCCCAGTGCCCCTCCCCGCCCATACACACACACACACACACACACACGCACACACGCACAGAGAACCAGCCCCACACAGGTTTGAACTCTCCTCTGTCCAGCCTCTAACCCACGTTCTGCCCTCTCCTTCTTATACAGGGGATCATTCCAAAACACTGAGGAGAAGTATGAGAACATCAGGATTAAAAGTGAGTTCTTACTGCCATCACTTCTATCCTTCCCTACACACTCCCTGCTCACGCACATGCCCCACCCATCCCTAGTCCTGACCCTGGTCCTGACACAGCAGATGACCTCACTGCTGGAGGCTCCAGTCCATTTCTCTACCCTGGCCGTAGGCACCTGACCCCAGCACACCTTGATTTTTTTCTAGGACAACAAACAGAGCCCCGGCTGGAGCCCAAGCTGGAGCCCGAGGTAAGCATCTCAGACTATGGCCTGAAGGAATTAAAGAAAAGTTTGGGGGCTCCTGGGTGGCTCAGTGGGTTAAGCCTCTGCCTTCAGCTCAGGTCATGATCCCAGAGTCCTGGGATCAAGCCCTGCATCGGGCTCTTTGCTCAGCAGGGGGCCTGCCTCCCCCTCTCTCTGTGCCTCTCTGCCTACTTGTGATCTCTCTCTCTCTCTGTCAAATAAATAAATAAATAAATCTTTAAAAAAAAAAAAAGAAAAAGAAAAGTTTGGAGAAGGTGGGGTGAAGGGAATAGAGGGACTGCACGCAGTGTTGGTGAATACTCAGGTGCCAGATTACTGCTCTCAGGTGGGGACAGCTCCCCTTCCACTGTCTCACCCCCTCTCCTTCCTTCTCACCAGGATGAAGCCCAGGACAATCCCATCCTCTATGCCTCCCTCACCCTCTCCAGCTCCTCATCACCGGCAGCACCTCCCCGCCTCTGTCCCAAGGAGGCCCCCCAAGAGGAGACCCTATATTCTCTCATAAAGGCCTGACGAGTGGGACTGGAGGATGACTTCCTTAGACTGAGCTGCCCAGCGGGTCACAGCCTCTGATAAGGACCCCGGCCAGACTGGAAGACTCAGAAGCCAGTGGGTGTGGAAGGCCTCCAAGGACCACAGACAGAGCCATCTGCTCCAACACCCTCTCCACCTTCCCAGCCCTTGCCCACAAAAGTCTGGTAGAATTTGCCTGAAGGCATCTAAGGAGAAAACTGATGGCTCCTTCCATTTCTGTCTTCTCATCACGAATGAATTCTAATAAAGGGTCACACCCGAGATCCCTCCCCCAGTACTGGAGTTGGGTGACTGCCTCAGGGGCGGGACACAATAAACCCCGACGCTGGCAGTCAGCCCAGAAGCCAGGGTCTGGCCCTCCTCTACCCCTTCCCCTTCCCCTCTGATCAGAACGAACACGCACGTGCCAAGTGCACCACCTCATTTAGGTGCCTCCAACAAGCTGAGCCCAGACTGGATGCGCTCACCCGAGCCCTGAACAGGACCACAGGGGTTAGCGCTTTTCTCCAGGCCACACGCCTAGTAAGTGGCTGAGCAGGGGTCTGAACCCAGACCTGCCCTCCCCAACGACGGCCTTCTCCCAGGACTCAGGCGTCCCGGCCCTCCCAGATCCCTCAGACTGTGCCAGCCTCCCACAGACACAGGGACGTGCCCCAGGGAGCGGAGGGGAGGGAGGGAAGCCGAAGGGAAGCACGGGGTTAGAGACCAGCTGTGGAGAGCGGTAACCTCTTTTATTAACACGGGAACTGCACAGCTAGGACTTCAGCCAGTTGACCTGTAGCCGGTGACCAAGCCCCACACTTGGCAGCTTCTCAGGGACCCTCTGAGGGGTTCTCCCTGCTGCGAGCAGGGCAGGGGGTGAGAGAGCAGCAGGGACCCGGTGCACACAGCTATTCCTCGAAGGTGGCCAAGGTGAAGTCCCCAGCGTCATCTCCACACCACGGCTCCTCCAGCCGCTCTGGCTCTATCCCAACATCTTCCAGGAACTGCTCCAGGTCCAGGTCACTGGGGGCGTCATCGTCAGGGGGGACACCTCCAGCCTCCTGAGGACACTTCCAGCCTTCCTTCCCCACCACGGGACAGGCCCCATGATGAGCTGGTGGGGTCAGGTCCTTTGGTACCATTCTAGCTTCTTCGTCCTCAGACAAGCTGGTTACTGAGGCTTTGCTTTGAGGAGCTTTAAATTTTTTCTTAGGGCCTGGATGAAAAAGTGATGAAACTGAGAGTCCTATTAGGCCATTGTGAGATTTCACAAGTCAAACTCCTAAATTCCTATTTCCATAAAGGTCTCTGGGAAAGAGGCCTGTTCTCAACAGAAAGAAAATGGGCTTTGGTGTTAGAAAGACCTGGATTCAAGTAATGGATCCAGACATATGCTAGTCATGAGTCTTGAGCAAATTTTAAACCCTTTGGGGCCTTAGTCCCCTTATCTCTAAAATAGCAACTGTCCAGCCATGGAGATATTGAAAGAATTAAAGGGAACCAGCAAGGAGTATCTACCTAGCCAGCTCACAGCAATACACAACAAATGTCAGGTCCCCCCTCCTCACCATTGTCCTGTCCTTAGATCAAATCCATCAATAACCATTATGTTTCTACAGGGTGTGCTACACTCTCCAATCTGAGATGCTTAATTTTTTTTTTTAAGATTTTATTCCTTTGAGAGAGAGAGAAAGACAGACAGAGAGAGCACAAGGAGGGAGAGGGAGAAGCAGACACCCCGCTGAGCTGAAGATCACCCCGCCCCCCCGCCAGGACCTGCAGATCATGACCTGAGCCGAAGGCAGATGCTTAACTTCTGAGTCACCCAGGCGCCCCTAATTTTTGTTCTTTTTAAAAGTAGTGAGGAACTATAAAGTTAAGAAATGATCGAGGGAGGGGAGACACAGACTTGAACCTCATCTCCCATAGTTCTGCCCAGGCCCTGAGCCTTACCTGGCTGGTCAGGCTCCGGTTTCCCATGCCCTTCTTTCCTTCCTATTACGGATACAGGAGGAGCTGCAGATTCATTTCCCAGAGATCTCTTCATCGTCTTCTTTTGCAGGGTCCCATCTCGTCCATTTGCTAGGCCTGCATCACCCCACCCCAACCATGAAGGATATTTGTTTATTTCCCTCCAAATGACAGCTCAGCAAGGGTCCATAGACTCCCCTCAGTTAGTCTCTGCCTGCGTCCTCTGCTCATTCTCAATCAAGGGCGTTCTCTCGGTTCCCTCCTTTTCCCCAAATATTTCTCTCTCTCTCTCTCCAACTGCCCCCCTTCTTTTTTGGTCCTGGACCTTCTTCACCTTATGTTTTTCCTCATAGCCTCCTTCCTCCAGGAAGTCATCCCGCCTGGCTAAGAAATTAAGACATCCATTCCACCTTTAACCTAAGATTTTATAATCAGAACAGAGAAGCAAGGAGGCTACAGCTTCCCTGATGATACTAGTAGGATTCTTGACCATTTTTGCAGATTTTAGAGCTGAGACAGCCAGTAAGATCCGGTGACCTGCAGACCCCTCCCACTGTCTGCTTCTGCTCTGCCTCAGTGGTACCACGTACCTGTTCCCAGCTGGCTTGCTTACCTCTTGCCTTGGGTTTTTTGGTCTGAATTTTGGCTGGCTTGGGACTGGGCAAAGTTGGGTCCTAAGAATGGGAGAGGAAAATAAGAAAATATAAATGAAGTCATATAATTAGTGTTTTTAATAGACTGGGATGCTACGGAAATGATGAGTGGTTAGGGGAGTCAAATTGAGTTCTGTAGCTTGATCCTGTTTAAATCAACGACAACAAAGATAAAACTGTTCTCCTTTCCATTCTATTTGGTATTGATCAGTACAAAGCTTTATAGAGAAAGAAATAAAGTTAGACCATGAACATGATGAAAAAAAACTATTAAAAATCAAATCAATGACTAGACTCTTTAAGTGCTGATCACTTCATAGTAGATATAGATTTCAAATTATAATGTTGTACCCCTGAAACCTATACAGTGTTATAGGCCAATTTTGCCTCAACAAAAAAATAATTAAAAAAGAAAGTTAAAAAAAAAACCCTCTTTCAGGACTTCCAGTTTCCAGTTCTACGTGTAAGAGGTTTAGAAGTCATCACTCTAACAACAAGTAAAAAAACTGAACAGACTGAAAAATCAACAACTCTTTTTATTTTGATCAAAGAGAGAACGGGGTGCCTGGGTTAAGCCTCTGTCTTTGGCTCAGGTCATCATCTCAGGGTCCTGGGATCGAGCCCCGCATCAGGCTCTTTGCTCAGCAGGGAGCCTGCTTCCCCCAGTCTGCCTCTCTGCCTACTTGTGATCTCTCTGACAAATAAAGAATTAAAATCTTTAAAAAAAAAAGGGGGGGGGGAGGGAGGACACAGGGCCACCAAACCGCTGTCCTCAAGACTAAAGAGACAGAGAGGCAAATGTAGGAAGTCATACCTTACCAGGGCACAGACTCAGAAGCAGAAGAACCAGCACTTCCCACAAGAACCAATTCCAGGGCAGGAAAACCTCAACAGTACTAAATAAATTGTTCAGTGCAGACAAGTATGGGAGTTAAAAACACCAGTGTTGCCCAGTCTTACAGCGGCTTCCAGACCTTTGTGGGTTTGACCTCCAGGAGTCTGACCATGCTCTCACAGAAAATATCAGAGAGAAATCCCTTCATGCTTCCGGCAGAAGGAAGAGCAAAGGCAACATTTTGAAATATAGGCGAGCACTCTATTCTTCTGAAACAGGCCTTTTCTCAGGAGAAATTAGTTAACCATAGCCTAATCTACCAAGATATTATCAGAAACTGACTGTCCGGGGGAAGAGAAATATTTAACCCCTGCCACTCTAGCCATCCTGTCCCACCTAATAGGGGGGAAAACACTAAGAAACACCACGAAGTTCACAGTCCAGAGCATGGGTTCATTTAAAGACATGAGATCTAGGTTTGCCTGGCTGGTTCAGTTAGAAGTGGATACAACTCTTGATCTCAGGGTTGTGAGTTCAAGCCCCACATTGAGTGTAGAGATTACTTAAATAAGTAAAATGTTTTAAAAAAGAAAAAAGACATGAGACATAGTAGTAGGACCACAGAATACATCCCCTCCCCTGACCTTACCATCACACTACTAAAGGCATATTTAGGGATACCTGGGTAGCTCAGTTTGTTGGGCGTCTGACACTTGATTTCAGCTTGGGTCATGATCTCAGGGTTGTGGGATCAAGCCCGACTGAGGCTTCACATTCAGCAGAAAGTCTGCTTAAGATTCTCTCTCCCCCTGCCCCTACCCTCACTGGTGCTCTTCTCCTCTTCCCCTGCCAAAATAAATAAATAAATCTAAAAATAAATAAATAAAGGCATATTTACAACCATTTCTTTTACCTGGTATATTGTGTCTGGCAATCAATAAAAAACTACAAGGCGTACCAAAAGGCAAAAAAAAAAAGGGGGGGGGCCTGCCTGGGTGGCTCAGTGGGTTAAGCTTCTGCCTTTGCCTCAGGTCATAATCTCAGGGTCCTGGGATTGAGCCCCGCATCAGGCTCTCTGCTCAGTGGGGAGCCTGCTTCTCCCTCACTCTCTGCCTGCTGCTCTGCCTACTTGCGATCTCTCTCTCTGTCAAGTAAATAAATAAAATCTTTTAAAAAACCCACAATTTGAACAGACAGAACAAATATCAAAACAGGACATGGCATGGAATTATCAGATTGGAATGAAATCAAAGATGATTAAAATGTAAAGGGCTCTAATGGATGAAGTAGCATGCAAGAACAGATGGGTGATGTAAGCAGAAGGATAAAAATCCTAAGAAAGAATAGGAAGGAAGTGCTAGAGATCAAAAACACTCTAATAGAAATAAAGAAAATGCCTTTGGTGGGCTTATTAGTAGACTGAATTCCTGAGCTTGAGGTTATCTCAACAGAAACCTTCAAAGCTGAAAAGCAAAGAAAACAAAGACTGAAAAGAAAAAAAAAAAAGAACATCATATCCAAGAATTGTGGGACAACTGTAAAATGTGTAATGTATGTACAATGGGGATACCAGAAGGAGAAGGAAAAAAGAAAGAAACCCAAGAAATACTAAAGGCAATAATTACTGAGAAGTTTATCAAATTAATGTCACACACCAAACCACAGATTCAGGAAGCTTGGAGAACACCAAGAGGATAAATGCCAAACAGCCCCATACAGGTGTGTTATTTTCAAACTATAGAAGATCAAAGATAAAGAAAAAGCCCTGCGGTTTAAGGAGTATACTTGTTGTGATGAGCACTGATGATGTATGAAGTGCTGAATCACTAGATTGTACACCTGAAACTAATATTACACTGTATGTTAACTAACTGGAATTTAATAACTTTTAAAAAAAGGAAAAAATAAAAGCCTTGGAAGAAGCCAAAGAAAAACAATACCTTACCTGATATGCTAAGGAAGGGGAGAAAATGGAATCATATAAAATGCTAAGTTAAAGCCACTTGGGGGGTGGGGAGGGGCACCTGGGTGGCCCAGTCGGTTAAGCATCCAACTCTTATGTTTTGGCTCAGGTCATGATCTCAAGGTCATGAGATCAAGCCCTGAGTCAGGGGCCACCCTGAGCATGTACCCTGCTTAAGATTCTCTTTCTCCCTCTCCCTCTGCCCTTCCCCACCACTTGCACACACACTGTCTCTCCCTCTCTCTCTCTAAAAACAAAACAAGACAAAAAACCATTTGGGGGGTGTCTGCTTGGCTCAGCTGGTAGAGCATGAGACTCCTGATCTTGGGGATTGTAAGTTCAAGACCCACATTGTGTGTAGAGATTAGTTAAAAAATAAAATCTTTAAAAAAAACCCAAACACTTGTCTGGAAAAGAATGGAAAACAAAAATGGACACAGGTAGAATATCAGGAAGGATACAGTTGAACTCAACAACAGTACCGATCAACTGGATATAAGTAACATCTACAAATTACTTTGTTATATTCAACAACAGCAGAATACATATTCTTCTCAAGCTCACATGGAGCATTCACCAAGACTGATCGCATTCTGAGCCATAAAACAAAACTTAAACAAAATTTAACATACTTAAAAGAATAGAAATCATACAGTGTTTGCTCCCAAACCACAACAGAGTTAAACTAGAAATCAGTAACAGAAAGATAACTAAAAAGTCCCCAAATAATAAAGATTTAAAAACACACTTTTTTTTTTAAGATTTTATTTATTTGACACAGAGAGAGAGAGATC